GTAGACCCGGATGCTGGTCGAGCTGGCCAATGGAGTCCAAGCTCCCAGCATCCAGGACTATCAAGGACTACAAAGCCCATCTGAACTTGTAAGTAAGGTTTAGGGATTATGTGTTAGCTAGTGGCGAGCAGACCTTTTATTTTCTTTGCTTGGCTGAAATGACTATATTCTGTGCCTACAAGACAAGGGGTCTTATATGAGTGATATTCCCTTTGCTCTAGAATTCTGTAGTTAGAATAAAGCTTTTCTTTAAAAGTACCTTGCTCTTCTTACACTCCTTCTACATGCACCTTGACTCGGTCAGAGGGCTTGCCTAAGATTGGCAAAGGGAAAAGGAACTCTATAAATCCTTGGCAAAGTCCTAGTGTGTTGCAAAGGAAGTCATTTTAATTCACTAGGTCGTGGCAGCCTGTATGGATGGTCTCAAGGGATCTCATTCTGCTCAGCAGGAAATTGGAACAGAGATCTAGGAGACTTGCATTAATGATTTCTGTGGGCAAAGGGTCAGAACAGGGTTGCAACATTCGGCCCTAAACCACAGAGATCATCACAATAGTATATTCTACAGTGGGACCTTGGTATCCACTGGGTTTGGTTGCAGGACCCTCATGGATACCAAAATCTGTGGATATTCAAATCCCATTAAATACAATGGATAGTCAAGTTATGTCCCTTATATAAAATAGCAAAATCAAGGTTTGCTTTTTGGAATTTACATATTTTTGTATATTTTCAAGCTGTGGATGCTTGAATCCGTGGATATGGAGGTCTGACTGTGTGGTCCATTCTCAATGTATACTCCAGAGGTTAGAAATGTTACTTTTGGATTGCAACTCACAGAAACCCTTAGCAAACATGCCAGTGACCATGCTAGTGTGGGATTCTGGGAAATGTAATCAAAAAGAGTAACTGTACCATGCTTTGAGTATTCTGAGCCTTACAACAAGGAGGCCTGTCTGCCAGCCTGGCTTTCCCCAACAGTTTGTACTACTACAACCAGAAAGAAGTCATTAGGCTTTCTGGAATATTTTTACCTGTATCTCCTGGTAGGTCTATGTCCTTCATGAAAAACACTAGGACAGCATGACATTCGATGATTAATTAAACACTACCGGTATTTATGATTATTTAATTCCTTGTATAAAAGCATCTTCTCCCTGGATGACGGGTGTTCCATTAATGCATTCTTCAGCTTTCCATTCCCTGTCACCATCTTTCCTTCTCTCGCTAGCATGTTTTCATTCCTCCATAATACCCTGATTTGTTTCCTAATGGTTGCATATGAATGGTGCATGAGTACTATAGACCTACAAGCTCATCTCAGTTGTCTGTTTTCCAGAATACTTGGTGCTAGCATTACATTACTCCAGGGGTTCCCAACCTTTTTGACTCATGGAGCCCTTATTTCTATGGCGGAGCCCCTAAGAAGCCTACCCTCTGTCTTACAAGTTAATGGTGTTTAGGAGCATATATAATAATATATTCTTATTCTTTAATTTCATTCAATATTTATTTATTTCATTTTTGTGGAAGAGCCACAGAGCACCTGGGAAGTGCACATGCAGCCCTAAGGGCTCCTCGGAGCACAGGTTGGGAATCTATGCATTAGTCTGTCCTTGAGTTTCTGTAAGAAAACAGTCACAATCCTTTCATTGTTGCATGGATATAAGGAAGGCAGAAGGAGACAAACTGTTCAATACCAATAGCCAGAAAAGATTTTTTGATGAATCGTTCCAAAACCTTGTCACACTGCAAGACTTTCTTTCTTTATAAAATGCATCCTCTATCCCAGGATTCTGTCCAAACCCTGGAGGCCAAAGTACAAGGACCCTAAAAATTACTAATGTGATCCATGTGTCTACTCTTGGCTACCTTTAGAGTTGGAAGTTCTGCTTTTTAAGAACCGATCTGTCCATCTTTATCACAGGTGGGCAACGTGTAGCCCTTCAGGCATTGTTTGACTATATCCCTCAATATTAGCGACTCTGGGCTAGGAAGCTACAATCTAACATCTTATTATCTACCCTGATCTACACCGTTTTAGCACCTGTACATTAAAATCCAAGCACAGATCACCATTATTAGGCAGAGTGAGCAGATGCTGGTAAATGTACTAAAAGAGAACTAAATGCTACACGGCTTGCTTTGATATCAACCAAACTGCTACCCCCAAGTGTAGCAGAGAACGCTCTCACATCACGAGAGTTGAGAAAAGATTCAAATGCCAACCTAAGTGTTTTGTACATAGAGTGAGATGGGTGCATCTTTGCTTAAGGCAGCAACATTTCCGAGGTGAGCCCTACAGCAGGGGTAGGCAACCTTTCCCCTTTAAGGGCCGAGGGACTTCAGCTCCCAGAATCCCAGGAGCTATTGGCCAACAAGGGACTATTGGTCAACATGGCTGAGGCTTCTGGGAGCTGAAGTCCCTCGGCCCTTAAAGGGGAAAGGTTGCCTACAGACTCTTTAAATTTGTTTCTTTAAGTATCTTTATTAGGTCATGTCTGTCCCAGAGGTCACAGTTCCAGATTTTGTTCAGGCCAGTGGTGGGTGGGTCCCACATCAGTGCGGTTGTACAACCATCCCAGGTGTGGGTTAGCTTTAAGGGAATTATTTAAAGCACTAGACCTATTTAAGAATAGCTTTCAGCACCGCAAAGAGTTCCTGAAAGCCTGGAGAGGATTCACTGCCCCACTGACATGGAGCCACCAGCCTCCATTGGTTCAGGTGGAGCACATAATCTAACAGCCTGCTTCTCCGTTGTAAAGCTGGAAGAATTCAGATCCACTCCCCGTCTTCAATGAATCATTCATAGCTCTGCCCATTTCATCAATCCACATTAAACTACAAAAAAGAAAGATTATGCCACAGTGAAAGTGTTGCACAGCACATTACTCAGGAATATATCCTACAGTTAAAGCCAATCCACCCACTGATTACAAGCTAATCTTGACCTTGGGTAAAAATAATGTTCCTTTTCCAAGTATGGTGAACAGTCGAGAAAATGTTCTTATGGCTAAAGCAGCAGCTGCTGACAAGAAAAAATGCAAAACAAACCAGAAGGGAAGATGAATTCATGGCAAAAACACACAGTACAATGATCAAAGATCAAGCTGGCTGGCCTAAATCCAACTGTTAATTCCCACTAGAGTAGGCCAGTTTGAATTAATAGAACTTACACAAGTGCTGAATTATCAGGTTCCCATTGATTCAGTGGGTCTACTGTAGTCCATCTGGAGCACATTTAAGAAATAAACAGGGAGCACACCACAATGGATCATTTACCACTCATGTTGATGGTGCTGAAAAAAAGGACCAAGACTGCACTTTTAACTGCTCTTCCTCACTCCCTCCTTCCATTTACAACCAGATGGGAAAGAGCACAGTACTTTCAAGTTCTAGTGTGTTATATTGTGGCAAGGTGGTCCGCTGTGCTGTTGTATGCATTTTATTGCACCCACCTCATCCTAGATGTTGTAGCTTTCTTCAAAGGGTGTAGCAATGTAGTTTGCATTAGTAATCCCATTCCATTGTACATATACTTCATCTAAGGACGTTATCACACGGGGGCAAATCTGCTGGTTAAGCCACACAA